CTTGCGCTTGCCAGGCAAGCGCTTATTCTACTGAGCCATCTCCCCGGCTCCTAAGGGTTGTTTTCTCACATGCCCTGAAAGAGGAGAGATATAAGTGGTTGAGGGTGGAGGGGTGGTAGGGGAAAAAATCAAATGTCAGATAAAAGGGAGGAAGAAAGGGGCATAGAGCAATGATAGAGGACCACTCAGCCTCCACGATGTGTTTCAGGAACTCTCAGTGATCAAAATCTGGCCACAGGGCCAACTTCTCCCACCACAGGTGAGTGTGTGTCTTAGTTACTGTTCTCTCATTGCTGGGACAAATACCCAACACTCAAAATGAAGGAAGGAAAGGTTTATTTAGCTCACAGTTACTGAAGGCTTCAGTTCATACTCAGATGGGTCCAATGCAGAGCAGCACACAGCAGAAAGCAACCTTTCATGGCGATGGCAAAGAGCAAGAGTGCAAGGGTGGGGTAGCAGTAGCTCAAGCAGCTAGCTTCTCTTCCCACCTTACATTGTAATGCAAATTACCTGCTCCAGGGCAGGTGCAGCAACCACACCCACAGTAATCAATCATAAACTCCAGAAGTCACCCCAAGACTGCCTGAGGCTTTGGGGGGACACCTAGACACAAACCATAACAGTGTGAGTGCTTGCCCAGGGCTGACAGCCCCCTGCTTCATCCCAGCCAAGAGTTCATGAGTTCTCAGATGGGTAAGAGAGATGGTATCACCAAGCCTGCCCCACCTTCAGTTCAGTTTTTTTGTTTTTTTTTTGTTTTTTTTTTTTTCAGTATGGGGAATTGAACTCAGGATCCTGCGCTTGCCAGGCAGGTGCTTATTCTACTGAGCTATCTCCCCAGCCCCCTCCCCCGTCTCTTTCTGTCCATGCAGGAAACAAGTCTTCTCCAGATCCTGGCAGCCCTAAGCTCCTTCCCAGAACCAGTGCCCCAGGTATTAAACTGGTGAGACTACAGATGCCACCTAAGAAGGGCCCAGGGAGGAAGCAGACTGCTTGGTTTACAGGGGAATGTGGATTGTGGGAGAAGAACAAGCCAATAAGAACTCACACTGTCAGTTACAAGCCAGGGTGAGAGGCCCATGGGCAAGAGCAGGTGCTGAGGAGTGCAGCCACTTCTGAACTGTGGACCAGCACATTCCCAGAAGGAGTGGCTTCTGAAGCCTAGCCCTGGAGAGAAGTAGAAGGTGGAGGGTGGAGCAAGCAGGTGAAGGCCCAGAGGTGAGCCAAGAACTCTCTTGGGTCTTCTGGAATTGGAAGCAGTAAAGAAAAGGAGGATTGGGGGCTAATGAGCTCCCCTGTGCAAATGTCCGCTGAGTCCCTGAGCAGGCTACTCCTGCTCCCTAATCCACAGCACCTGCACAGAAGGCCTCAACTGACCCTCTGATGTCAAGTAAAGCTGGAGCACTAAGGGCAAGCACCGAGGATGAACATGATCTGTCCCTGCTACAGAAGAACATATCAGAACTTGGTGAGTACCCAGGGCAGCTGGTAGGGGTGAAGCACCCTGGGTTATGCCAAGGTAGGTTCCTTCTTCCCCTTCTCAGGAGGCTTGGGATCTTGAGGCCTGGAGCCACATCCATGGCACTGTGGCTTGGAAAAAACAGAGCTTTGAGCAGAGTAAGGACAGGAATCTGGGCCTGGTCACAGAGGTGAACCAAGTCTGGACTTACGGCTGAAAAAAGCATGAAAGGGAGGTTTGGAATGAAAATAGGGGTGAGGCAAGGAAATCCTAAAATGAAGGGACAGGGAGACAGAAAATGTGAAAGATGGCCTGGCCTCTCCTCAGGACAGGCTGGAGAGACAGGTCTGCCTCCATCTTGGCCACTGGTTTCAGGTGCAGACAAAGGTACCTGCCTCAGTTACTTTTCTCTCATTGCTGGGACAAAATACCTGACATCCAAAGTTAAGGAAGGAAAGGTTTGCTTAGCTCACAGTTTGTGGAAGTTTTAGTCTGTACTTGGCTGGCTCTAAGGCAGAGTGGCATGTGGTAGAGGGCAGCAGTTCATGATGGTGGAAGACAGCAAAGAGCAAAGGGAGGAGCAGCAGCTGAGGCATGTAGCAAGCCTCTCTCTCTCAACCTTCCTACAGTGCATTCAGGCTATCTGTCCAGGGCAGATATAGCACTCATACCCATAATCCTAGCATTGGACAATGAATTAATCACAAACTCTAGAAGCCAGCCCCAGTGGCTGCATGAGGCTTTGTGGAGCCAACCAGATACAAACCATAGCAGGACCCTGTATTGCAGCTGAGCCAGCACAAGGTGTTCCCTCGTGTGTTCACAATAAAGAAGAGTGGTGCGAAATGTCTAACTCTTTCCCTCTCCCAACTGTCCTGTGACTTTGGGATGTTTTCCACCCCCACACTCGCATTCTCCTGCCTTGGGCTCACGCGTGCTGGGCTGACAAGTGTGCACCACCGAGCCCAGCTTCCCTTGGAGGCTGAGTCACTCGCCTTTACTGATGCTCCGAACCCCACTGTATTTCAGAAGCATCTCAAAACGTCACTCCCAATGCAATCACCATGAGCCTGAGGACAAGGGCAGACTTGACCTTCGGGCCCAGTCCCACAACCGAAACGGTGCTCACTGTGGCTGCCTTTGGTGAGAGGAGGGAAAGAGGGGTGGGAGGAAAGCTTGCCTGTGGAATGTTTTCCATAGTGAGGATGGAACACAGGGCTTCATCCATGCTAGGCAGGAGCTGTACTGCTGAGCTAGCTATAGCCTTAGCCCTCACAGCTGGAAATACCTTGGGCTCTGGATCTGGGAACACAGGTTCAGATCTCATCCACTGCGGCCAGTTCTTGACTCTGTGGGGTTCCTTTCTCTCATGTCTCTGTCTGTGTCTCTTTTTCTACCCCCCACTCCCCCAACCCCATCTTTCTGTGTGTCAGTGATAACAATGGAACATAGAACCCAGGGCTTTGAACATGCAAGCCAAGGACTCTACAACTGTATTATGTACCAGGCCTTTTATATTTTAATTTCGAGACAGTCTTGCTAGAATGCCCAAGCTTGGCTTTGGCTTGAACTCGCAATCCTCCTGGATTGGCTCTAGCAGAGCTGGGATTATAGCTTGTGGTACAGCCTAGCCCATCCAGCCTCTGTGTTCTTTCGAGATGGTCCAGCAGAAAAGTGGAATTCACTTTGCTTCCAGAGCCTAACTGTGCAGCCCTTAGCCAGGAGAGGGATTCAGAACTCTTGTTGCCTCCTGCTGTCCCCTCTCTACTCTCCTCATCCTGTTTTTGACGCTGTTTAGGTGTTATCAGCTTCATCGTCATCCTGGTGGTGGTGGTGATTGTTCTAGTGGGTGTGGTCAGCCTAAAGTTCAAGTGTCGGAAGAACAAGGATTCTGAAGGTACCAGTCTTGATCTGCAGTGCCCCCTCCCTTGCATTGGGGGACTCAGTGAGGGGCCAAGGCTGACACTGGCCTGGGAGAAGGGAGGAACTGGCACATAAGCCCCTTGATGACTGGGAAAGTCCCCGTGAGTGGGCTTGGAGGGGAAGGCTGGGCTTCTGAATTCCAGTATGTGACCCTCATTTCTGTCATTGGGTTTTTACAGACCCCCAGAAACCAGGGAGTTCAGGGATATCTGAAAGGTAAGACTGTCAGAGCTCAAGGGAGGGAGCTTCTATCTGACCCACTGGCCTACTTCAAGAGGAAAGCAGGCCAGGTGTGGGGGTGCATGCCTGTACTCCCAGCACTCAGGAGGCTGAGGCAGGAGCTACATAATGAAACCAGCCTGGGCTACATAGTGAGTTCAAGGGCAGCCTGAACCACATAGACCTTGTCTCAAAAAAAGTTACAACATGAGGCTTAAGAGAGATCATAATTTCAAACCAGTAGTAAGTAGTAAAACTAGGGTTTGGGGTCTCAGAGCATATTCTAGTTTTACTATGGTGCACTTCCCTAACACAGATTTCTGTGAAACAGCAGTCTAAGGCTAAGCCCCCTCCCCATTACCCAGACTCCCATTGTCTTTCCTGTGCCCTCTCTGTAATGCTGACTCCTTTCCCCACTCAGCTGCTCCACGGCCAATGGAGAGAAACACAGCATCACCCTCCTCTCCATGAAGAACATCAATTCGAACAACAGCAAAGGCCGCCCCTCCGCTGAGAAGGTGCCCTTTCGTTTCCTTCCTTCTTACCCTCCCCTAATCCACCCTCCACCCTCCTGCTCCAGAGCCTCTGGTTCTTTAGCCAGAAAGGGGATCCTTTGTAAGACCCAGGCTCTTCTCCAGTCTTTCCCTGCCCTTCCTCTCATATTATCTATTTGTTTTGCAGGTTCTCTAGAAGTGGCTGGCGTACCTGTGGGTCCAAGGATGATACAGCTGCTCTGTGACTGGGAGGAGGGAGAAAGGAGATTGGTTGAGGCAACGAAACACATATAAGTTATTTTTGTTTCACATCTGCTCCCAGATCTAAAGGACCCTGGCTCCAGGTCTGGGAGCAAGCTTCCCATATGAGAACCTCCTGCCCACAAAGATAGCCTCTCAAGAGTCACTGCTGGTGCTCCCACCTGCTCAGAATCGCAGGAGAGAGAGTCCTGGAGCGAGAGCAAGGTGGATGCTGAGATGGACTGAGCCTTTCTGTTTGCATTAAAGTTATTTTTTGGCCTGCAGCCTAACTTTCTTAAGGTCTGTGTTCCTGTGCTTCTCTTCTCTCTCTGTGTCTGTCTCTGTCTCTCTGTCTTTGTCCCTCTCTGTCTCTGTCTGTCTGTCTGTCTCTCTCTCTCTCTCTCTCTCTCTCTCTCTCTCTCTCTCTCTCTCTCCCCCTCCCTCCCCAATTATGTCTGTTGTGTAACCCAGGCTGGGCTCAAACTTGAAGTCCTCCTGCCACATTCTCCTAGCATGCTGGTGTTACAGGCATGCACTCCTGCATCCAGCCAGGTGGTAGGTACATTTCCTAACAGAGTTTGCTAGAAGCTCTGGGGGCTTTTTTCCTAGGGCAGGCATGGGTGCATGTTTCTGTCCCCATGCACAGCTCTTTGAGAAACAAGGTGGTAGGGACACCATCAAGTCTGAAAAATTAAGTAGACTCGAGGCAACTGACCAGCTCCCTCAGTAGGAGGAGAAAAAGGGGGCTCTAAACAATGTCCAGTTCTAACCAGTAACAAAGTCCTAAATCTGCAAAACAAGAACATGGGGAGCAAACTCCAGTCGTGAGGACTGAAAAATATGAACACAGCTGTCCTTGGCCTGCCCCAGTGTACGCAGGCGGCGCTGTGGTCCTGGCCTTGGCTGAGCACTGGGAAGCCTTGGCTTAAGCATAGGAGACACTATAAACCAAAAACCAACCCCTTACTCTACGCTGCTGTTATGTTGTGTCCCATAAGTAGCATAAAGGATGGCAGATATGCTGTGAAGTCATTTAAAAGGGAGGAAAAGAAAGGGACTGTTGTCTTATCAATAGGGACGTTTACTGTGACTCTGATGTGGTAATAAATCTTGGTTGAGAAGAATCACGGGAAATTGTCTGCATGTGTCTGCAGGGAGTGTTTGATTTTTATAATCACCTGGGAGTTGGCAGTTTAGAACACAGGGAGAGCATAGCTTACTCATTCCAGAGCAACAATAGGCTATTTTCTTCAGGCTTGTATTTCACAAAGTGATATGAGAAACATAGCCATCAGGGAAAGTTTCATTCTCCCCGTCTCATCAAAACTATTAATGTGGTAGTACCTGTAATTCCAGCATTTGAGAGGCTGGGGCAGAATGATTTCCACAAATACAAATCCAGCCTGGGCTATTTAGTGAGTTCAAAACCAACCTGAACCACAGCAAGACCCTGTCTCAAAACAAACAAACCAAATCAACAACAAAACTTTGTGGGGTTTTTTTGTTTCTTTTCTTTTTTTTTTTCTTCTTTTTTTTTTTTGACATCAGTTATTTTTATTTTAAAGAAATAAAAACAATGGTACAAAATCTCAAAACAAGATTTTAGGAGAGTAATAATGGTTAGTACATTGATTCTTTTCTTTTTTAATAGATTGCAAATTGAAAATAAATTATTTACAAACATAAATGAATATAACAATAAAAATTGTCCAAAATAAAAATGAAGAAAATTTACAGATCAGTCGTAATAATTCACTGTGTCAAAACCAAGAAACTTATATTCATATAATTAGAATTCTCAAAGTAGAAAGGAGTAGGCAATAAATATTTAAAGATTTAAAACTTCTTTTTTTTTGTGGAACCAGGGATTGAACTCCGGCCCTTGCGCTTGCCAGGGAAGCGCTTATTCCACTGAGCCATTTCCCCGACCCTTCTAAGATTTAAAATTTTTGAATTTAGTTCATCTATAATACCTCATTTCCAAAAAAAATGAACCTTTTGCACAAGAAATTTAAATAAAATCATACCAAGATACACAAAAATGAAATTGTCCAAAACTTATTGTAAAGAAAAAAATCATTAAAGCATATACATAAAAAATATTAGCTATGGAAGAACAAAATTACACATCTTATTCCGCACTAGAAAGAAAAAAAAAGGAGCAAGTGTGTAAGAAACTAGACTAATTAAAGGACTGAAAGAAAAGATGTCCTCTTTGAATTTTATACTTAGCAAACATACCTTTGAAAACTAAAACTAAAGATTTTCTAGTTATACAAACTTGAAATATTTTAATACCTCCAGAAGTAGCATACAGGAAATAACAAATTCAAAAGGCAAGAGAAGTTGCAGTATGCTCCTGGATGAACAATAAAGAGCTCTCAATATGATAGTTATGCAGGACTATATAAAATATATTAGATGAACCCTTACTTAAAAGGTCATTATAGATTTCTATGAAACAGTACCAATCTTATGTTGGGTTATACACATGTTTTTTTCATATATATGTGTGTGTATGTGTGTATAAAAGACAGGGAAGAAGTAATATAAAGCCAACAGAAAATGGAAATAAGCTTTTTAAAGTTTCTAATACTAGAAGATATCATACCATGTCTTTTAAATAAATTGTAAGTCAAAGATATAGTATAAATCTTAGAACAAAAATTAAGATTAAGCAATATTCAGAAAATTAAATATTAATTAATTAAAAATTAAATGTTTTGGGGCCGGGGAGATGGCTCAGTAGAATAAGTGCTTGCCTGGCAAGTGCCAGGGCCTGAGTTCAATCCCCGGTTCAGCAAAAAAAAAAAAAAAATTAAATGTTTCAAAACAATTGAACTAAAAAAAAGTTTTCATGATAACAAAGAAGTACTAAGAGTAAAACATAAGATAAATACTGGAATGACAAATAAATGATCAGCACTTCTAACAGTTTGAGGATAGGATATCGCACAAAGTTCTAGTGTGTTTTGGACATACATAATGACCATGACAGTTGCTGGTAGCCAGGCATCATTTGTGGGACTGAGCTACAACTATTTTTTTCCCATAATTTTATTGATAAACAAATAGCAATGAGACAGTTGCAAATCAAATCGGTAAGACAGTTTCAATAATTAACACACTGCATACATTCTTTCTAGTGGTTAACTGCTGTACAAGAATAATTCTATTCATTAAGAGAATGTAACTATATATCTATCCAAACCACTTTGAATACACAGATACAATTGTCTGTATACTGTTTTTTGTTAAGTTCCGTTATTTGAATATTATAGGTGTGTAAACTAGGCAAAATATTCCAAAAGAGTCCAGTAACCCATAATAATATTGGGTCTTCCACCTGACTGGCAGTGTCAGAAACTGTTGACCTGAGTCCCCCACAGCTCAACATAACAGCATGGCTTTACTTCTTATATTTCGTTTTTATACTTTTCTGCTGGATGGCC